CCTGCTGAGCGATTCGCAAGTGGAGCAGGAGAGGAAGACTTGGGAAAATCGGTTGGAAGGGAAGCCGGGCACCGGCCGGACAAGAGACGCCGCGCGGAATTCTTGGCACGCGACGCCTATGCACCGTTGCTCGATCCGCTCGCCGATTCCACGCGATTCGAGGTTCACGGGACGGCCCCTGGAATCGGTAATTGCTAGGCGAGCTGCCGATCGCCCTCGTTACGCGACCCAATCCGTCACTCGTTCCTTTCTTTCCCTCCACGCATCCGAGTCACCTATACCGATCTCCCCTCGATTCGATGCGACCCGACCAGCCGAGATCGGCACCGTCGCGTTTTCGTTCGTTCGTCCCGTCGTTGCGCAAAAGTCGCTTGATTTCGAAACGCGCCGATTTTCCCGTGCACTCGCGTGTCGCCTCTTTTCGGCCGCGTTTCGGGGTCAGTCACCGAGAGGAAGAGACGGAAGAGAGCGCTCGCGGTGATTAATCATGACCGCGATGCAGCGGCGCGAAGGGAAAACGGACGTTCGCAGCGCGAAATTGTTGACCTCGCGGCGAGCGAGCGAAATCACGCGCGCACCTTGCGCCGCCGCTCGCACCAGCAACCCAGATCTTCGCGCGATGGAAATATACCGTTAAAACGTACCACGGGCCCGCAGCCGCAACTCCCGTTCGACGAATCGTCGTTTGCCAGGAATTCTCGGTGCCCCTACCCTCGCGCCGCGCCGATCATCCGACGCCGATGGATCGCCGATGGATCGCCGATCGATCACCGGCCGCGATCCTTCGATCGCCGATTTTTCCCCGTCCGATCGCGCAACTGCCCGCTCCGATTTTATCGTCTAACCGCGTGCCGGAAAATATCCGGGACAGCGAGCAGGTCGACGCAACATCCGCCGCTGGAAGCCTCGGCGGCGGCCGATCCTCGCGGTGAAAGCGCCGGTAAGCTGCTTCGTCGCGCTTTTTGCCGCGTTTCTTTCGTAACTGTCGCCGCCGCGTCTCCATCTCGGAAACCGCTCGGCGGGCAAACTCGTTCGCGAGGGTTGTTTTGGTTTCGCGCCAGAGACTCTCGCGGCAGATGCACTTCCGGCGCGGTCCTCGCCAGAGCTTCCTACTCGCGGAAGAATTACGCGAGCGAAAGTACGGTCGCGGAATAATTATCTCGCGTCGTTTGGAAAATTATACACAGGGTTAGATTTTGGCCGAGATTCGAAGGTCCACCGGAATCGTCCACGCGATCGTCGCGGCTCTTCGAGTTTCCGCGCGAAGGATTCCGCGACGCGCGTTCATCGTCGGACTTTCTTTTCCCTTTCGACGGACCCCGCGCGTCCCGCAGAAGTTTCTAACGGCCGATGTTCGAAACTCGAGCGGAAAACGAACGCTTCTCGGCCCTCTGGCTCTGAATCAGCGATCCCGATAAACGACCGCGCAACATTCTCACGGCCGTCGCCGCTTTCCAACCTCCGCGTCTCTCCGCATTGTTGCGGCTTTTGCATAATTCCACTTCCGACATTCCTGCCGCCGTTTTCGCCCGCGTGGCCAGCGAGCGGCACGGTTTTGCCTCTGCAGGCGAAAGTGCCTCTAATGGCGAGTAATCGACAACGACGAGCAGAGTCGCGGCTAAGTACTCGCTGGAAGGGTCCCAACGGGCCACGGATCCGCTCGGCGATGCTCGCGCGCGCGCGCGTCGGGCCCCTGCGGTTTCGCGAAACGGGCCAGTGGTATGTCGGTCACGTCTGACAGGATTACCGTCGGACGAGCCGCGTATCGGTGAGAATCGCATCCACGTAACTCGAGTATCGAGTTTTCCTCCGATAATTCCCGTCGCTTCTGGGACGCGCGGGGCCCCGCGATTCTCACTCCAAGCGGTTTCCGCGCCATCGATCGTCCCTCGATCGTGACCGGTCGCGACCTCGAGCGTCGGTACAGCGAGAGTTTCGGCCTCGTCGGCTCTAGGGCTAGACGAGACCAGTTGAGGTGATAGTAATGGCGGAGAAGAGGAGTGCGCCGCTGGCACTTTTCTCCTGGCTTAATCGTTATGGAAAGTCGGAGGATAATTCGTCGACACGCAGAGGAATCGCGCAGTTTCGAGATGGACATTCCTCCGCGTACGAGATGCAGCCTAGGATTCCAGGGAATTTTAGTTCGCGATAACTTTCGACTATTTTCCAAGCATTCGCCGCGCGACGAACGTGCCTTTGCGCGAACACAAATTAATCCATCGGCTGTGAATTTTATGCCATTTTCGCCACTGCGGTGAGGCCGATATTTCCTCGCAAAAAGGTAAATCGCGCAAATCCGAGTAGCAATTTTTAATAATTTTTTTACCCCTTCCCACCGATTTCGAATTTCGTAACGGGATATATAATTTTTCTATAATTTTACATCCCAACGTGTTTCGCGACACGGTGAGCAAATTTAATTTTCATTTCATTTATGACATAGTACGAAAGGTAGTGGAAAATAGGGCGAATCTAAATTTTCCGCGATTTTCAAGCGTCGCGAATTAACATCGAGTTTCACGTCCCGCGAGACATTCTCTCGCCGAAATACCAGGCACTGTAAACCACGCCGGGAATTTTCCAAAATTTCCAATTGACCTAAATAGACGAGAAACGCGTGAAAACGTCGTTGTCGAATCGTAGTGCCCGATTCGTCGCGAACAATCTCTCGAAAGCCTGCGCGGATTCGCGGGTGAAGTTTGAACAGGTGTACACCGGCGGCGCGTAACCCGAGCAGGAATTACGCGTATCGCTTAATCGGTGCGTAACGTGGAAATACGGGCCGATTCGGAGCGGCAAGTGCGGCGGCGGCGACCGCGGATAATACGCGGCCACACCGCAAGAATCTCGTTGGGTCGGATCGCCTGGCTGGTAGGCCACGCTGCCGAAGCAAGGTGCGCGTGGTGGGATCGGGTCGCAGCGACTCGCCGCGAGTCGCTTCCAACGCAGCGCGCAAATCCGACGACTCTTTTCGAAAGTTCGAAACCGCTCCATCCTCTTCCTTCGATTCGCGCAATTTCTCCCAGGTCTGCGCGGAAAGAGGTCGATCTCTACTTAACATCTCCACGCCGTCGGTCAAGTATCATTCTGAACCGTCGACAGCCGCGTCTCGGCCATGGATCGTCGATGGAACGTCGACAGGGCGTCGAGAGGGGACGGATCGTCGGTGGATCACGGATGAAGCGTCGATGGTACCGTTCGCGATTCGTCGATGGATCGTTCGCGGAACGTTGACGAGGCATTGACGGAGCGTCGACGGATGGATTACGGATGCAGGGTCGAAAGAGCGAGGATGCACCGTTGACGGTGGATGATGGGGCGTCGAGAGGACGTCGAGAGGGCGTGGATGGAGGATGGACGGATGGGCGACGCGTGGTGGACGAAACGTGGACGAAGCGTGGATGGAGTCGCGGTGCAGGATCGGAAAGACAGGTCCGACGAAATTGCCGGGCCGAAGGGGGGCGGGGGGTGGGGGGGGAGGAACGGGCCTCGGTACACGCGGAGCGGGAGACGCGGATGGGCGCTTGGTTCGCGAGTAAAGGAGGTTGAGCGAACGGGGGACGCGGGTAGACGTGTACCTCGGAAGGGAGAGGTGGGAGAGCGAGAGAGACGGGCGGCAGGAGAGAGCGAGGCGGAGAGAAAGGGGGACAGAGACAGGAGACGGTGTTTGTAATCAAAGGGGCGATCCGCGGCGCGGCGTGGAAGAAAGTCAGCCTACCGGTGAGCCAGTCCGGCACGGCGCGTTGTCCCGAATGCACGTCGAACCATCGATTTCCGCGTGTGCTGGCCACGTGATCGCGCCCGATCGCCACACACCTCGCCCCGTGTCTCCTGTTGCTGCTGCCACCGGCTTCGCCGACTCGTCGCGCTTCCCGCTTCACGGCCCGAGCCGCGCCGCCGATCCAGCGCGTCGCGAATCCCGGGAGTCGATCGCGCGATCCTCGCGGCCCAGCTAGCCACACGGATTTCACCGCGTATCGGGCTCCGGGCAGCCTGGTAACAAGTCCCAGCGACCTGCGTCCGAGGGATCACGTGGTCAGGGGACTGCCGGTGCGAGCACGAGCCAGGGACGATTCGCTTCTTTCCCGGCGATGAAAACGAGTGGCGAATGAATGGTAAGTAGAGAGGTAATGGTCGTGGGAATCGGCACGACCGATTCTACGGGATCGCGAGGGAACCGAGAAATCGCGAGCGACTGCGATTCTTCCGTGTCGCGGCACCGGGTCAACCTCGATGGGTAAAAGATCGGCGAAGGATCGGCAAAGGATCGGCAAAGGATCGAGGCTCTTCCAAGGCTGATCCCTGGAGTAGCGAGTACCGCAAGGCCGAGCAGAGGAGCAGAGGTATGCGAGTGACGTCGCGGCTATTATACGAAACGTTAGTCAAGGTAGGCGCGGAGCGTGACGCTGGCTCGACTCGAAAAAGCACGGTGACAGGTGGAGGAGAGCGTGTATGCGACGTGCCAAAGACGTATCGAACGCGACGTATCGAGACTCTCGCGATCTCGCGACTCGCTGTCGAAACCGCGTACGTTTAATCCTTTTAACCGGACACCGCTGCTACGGCTTCTACGAACGTCACGCGGCTGATACGAAACAGACGTGGGACGTGAAAAATCCTCGTTATCGCGTCGCGTATCGGTCTTCGATCTGCCAACGGAATCGAACCTCTCGAGGTCGGCGAGAACGCGCGCACGCGCGCGCGGTTAGCCGTCTCCGCTTCCTCGTTTTCTCCGTCGAGGGAGTAAAAGGCCGCCGATAACGCGAGGCGACGTTTCCTCCGATCCACGAGAAATCTCCGCGGCGAAACCAGTTTCACGGCAGCGGACAAGCGCGGGGCCTTTGAAAGTCGATGGCATTTTACCGTTTTTACTCTTTTCTCCACCAGCGGAGAGACCGCGACGACTCGCCGCGATTTTCTAGCCGCGATTTTCTACCCGCCAGGTAGCCACTCGCGCAGCCGATGCACGGATAATTATTCCCGATTCTCGTGAAAGTTCCGAGCACGCCGACGACGCGAGGAAGCGCCACGCAGACGCGGCGCGATCTCTTTACCGCCGCGCGTAACGCTCCAACGACGGAGCCGGTGCGAGCAGCGTGCACGACTTTTCTTTTATTCCGTCGTTGCACAACGCTTCCGTGTTTCACGCCCGTTTCGACGCCGTTCCATTCGGCCGAGAAACTGGCAGCCTACCTTCGCCGTCGACCGTGGCCACGAGGACGCACTCGGCGAGTAAATATCTCACTCCGCGCGCGATCGGTAACGTGGCATCGACTGTCCTCTCGCGTACAAGCCGTCTAAGATGTACGTTCCGACTTAAATCTCTCGGATATCTAGGTACCTCTGACCCAGCCTGTGTCAAGTAGATGTCAAGAACGCTCGTCACGTTCGCGACGTCGAAGCGACGATTCGAGACGAACCGAGAGCAACCGTCGTCTCGGTAGACGCGGGAAAGGCGCTCGAGAAGAGCAGGGGCGTGAAGTAACTCGGAAAAGTGAAACCGAAAGTCGGGCGGAAAGTTGCAAAATTAAAGGCGAAATTTACATTTGAAATTCGCGAACCAGCCCCGAAGATAGACGGTCACTCGCGAGGCTGATTGCGTGACGAAAAGAAAAGTGAAGCGATAAATCTTCCTTGCCTCGTCGCGTGGCTCGCGCGCGTTCGAGAGGAAAGAGGAAAAAATGGCGGAAAGAGGGGAAAAAAAAAAAGAAAAAAAGAAAAAACGGGACGAGCTTAAAACGGCGTTTTCCCTGTTGGCGAAACGGACGCGAGGAGCGCAGATTTGAGTAATGAATGGAGCACGCTGTCAAAATCCGCGAAGCGTGACGGAGAACGCCGGCGTTACGTAATTCCGCCGCATCGTGGCGTCGTTCACGGCTGGGAAAATGCGGAATTCCGAAGGGTTACAGGAAACGTTTACGCGCGGAACGCTCCCGAATAAGGGCAAGCGTGTCTACCTTCGTCGCGGCCTAACGCGCTCGTCGATCGCGCTTTTCCGCATACCCGGCCCCATTTCCCATCTCCCCGAGATGCTTCCCAAATCATCCACGAGGCATTACGCAAGGTAGCCGACACGTGGCCCCCCTCGAGCTAACCACGCATCGCGAAACGTTTCCCGTTCCGTCTAGCACCGCCCACTCTGCCCGTTTCATCCGCCTCGAAACTAGAATTTCCACACCGATTCAGGAATCCGATTTTCCGTTAGCGCGGAAGAACCGATCGAGCCGTTTGCTGGAACAGACTCGGCCGGTATCAGGAACGCAGCTGGGTAGACGCGAGTAGAATGAGCGCGTCCGGGCTAGACCAGAGGCGCGAGTAGAATGGAGACGAGTTGTAGGTCAGTTTCGAGCGGTTTACCGATTCCGAGCAGGTTCAACTGTCCCGGTTGTTTGACAAACCGATTACCCGGGTCGTAATCGAGCCGTGCATTTATTAGGATGCGGTACAGTTTTGGGTGTCAAGGCGGACGGAGCAGTTCAGGGGGTTCCTCGCGACGCAGTTACGTGCCAATTCGCTCGGCGAGCGATCCTTCGACCGATTCACGAATTTATCTCGAATGGCGAGGAAATCGGTGCGAATCGGCGCAAAAACGCGCGGCAATTTCTAATTACACGCACTCCGAGTCCACGCGCTCGCTCTCTCGCCGTTCCTCGGCGAATTCTGGCGTCGTTTACGGTAACGAGTCGCGATCGTAAACGCGATTCCGCGCGAGAGACCGAGTTTGCCTGTCCGGCTAACGAGAGTAGTGCCAGTTGCCTATGGAATTCCGCCATTTTTACCAACGAGCTTTCCGCGACTTTCCATCCATTCGCCAGGCTGTCCGGCTATATGGCAACCGGTCATCTCGCAACGGTCCGAGCGGGATTTCTGTGTCAGAGCTGGGACGAAAGACGACGTTATCCAGGGCAGGTGCGATCGATCGGGCGCATCTCGCGAATCGGAACAGGGTTTCGTAATATTTTCAAGAGGCACACTGGTACCGTGAGCGGCGCGAGAGAGCCGGCATATCGAGAATGCGGCGGCGCTCAGCCCTGCGGCTACGAATTCCGTTACGCGCACTTGTATGGTTCTTCGGCTTCTTCCCGTCCTACCCCGGCCTCCGGCCACGAATACATTTTTTCCCCATCGCAGCCGGCTTCGGGATCCTCGGCCGGATCCACGCTTCTTCCTCGAGGACCTCGCGCCATCTCCTGCGCCCAGAAACGCCGCCATCGCGGCCCACGTTTCTTCCCAGACTCTCTCGTCCATCTCTAGCCGGATCTCGCACCAAAGAGTCTAGAATCTCTCGAAACTACCACGCGTTTCCAAAATATTCCAAATAGCTAGGCTACTCCGATCAGATTGGCGTTGAACAACCTTGCGCAAGGTAGAAAGTTCGAGTCGGAAATTCGGCTACCTCGATCTTTCTATCGAGGAAAGAAGCCTCTCGATCGTGTTCGATTTTCGAAACGCGAATAGGATAGCGACAGGATGTTCAGCGGAGACGAGTGTCATCGAGCCGATGATCCGACCACTGGAATCCCCGGTGTAACCGTTAACGAACTCGGTTCCCTCCACTTCCTCCTGCTTCTTCCAGGTGCTTACTAGCCTTTGGACGGACTCGCGCTTCTTCCTCGAGGATTTCGAGCCGTCTCCGGTACCCAGAAACGCTGCCATAGCTGACGACGCTTCTTCCCAGGCTTTCTCGCCCATCTCTAGCCTGATCTCGCACCAAGGAATCTAGAATCTCTCGATACTACCATACGTTTCCAAAATATTCCAGATACCTAGGGCTTCTCCGATCAGGATGAGCAAGCCTGCGCAAGGTAGAAAGCTCGAGACCGAAATTCGGCTACCTCGATCTCCCTATCGAGGAAAGAAGCCCCCCGTTCGTGTTCGATTTTCCCCAACGCGGATAGGATAGCGACGGTATGGTCAGAGGAGACGAGTGTCATCGAGCCGATGATCCGACCACTGGAATCCCCGGTGTAACCGTTAACGAGCGCGGTTCCCTGCGCTTCCTGTTGCTTCTTCCAGGCGCCGACGAGCCTGCCGTGTCGATCGTGCAGATCGATATCGTTTTCCAGTAGCCGTCTGGAGGTTTTCCGCGAGTGCGAAGGTTGCGTGCGCGGCAACAGCCTCGGCTGTTTCACCGTAGTGATTTACGAGGCCTGGCCGTGGAAGGACTTTCCATTCTCGCGAATCGCGTGAGACGGCTCGCCGTGAAAAGGACCCTCGCGCGAGCGATAGGAAAAATTACGACCGTGATTCCGCGCGGCGCGAAGAGTAGGGGCAGGTGGCGATCAGCTGATCGGCCGACGATGACCCGCGGGTCAATCGGCTTTCTACTTCTCGCGCGGCGCGAAAATCCGCCGCGGCTTCGAGCGGAGAAACGACGGCCAGTGGGTCGGGCACAGGGGGAGGGAAACGGCGCGCGCGCGCGCGCGCGGTGGTCCCCGGTTTAGAGGCGAGCGAGCGTACTTTCTCGCGACGGGAAGAGCGATATACGTATCGTTAGACGATCGGGATGCTGACGAGTGAAAACGGACGGAGGCGGTGAATAAAGAGTCGCCCGTCGAAGACTCATTGGCCGAGACGAGGCTGCATGGTCGCGGGAATCGCTCGGCTCTCTGCAAAAGCATCCTCTCTATCGTGAGAAGAGATCTCCGCGAGATCGTGGCTCGAGCGCGCGGAGAGAAAGATCCAGCCAGTGTTGGATTTTTCTCCGGTTTGTCTAGTGCGCATCGCGTCGTCGAATTCTCCCGATTCGTATTCGCGCGATTCTTTCATATCCGCGTATTCGTATCGCAGGAGCGCTACTGCGGTAGCCGGGAAAACGAACAGTTGCAGCGCGGCGGCATGAAAGTTCCGCGTTAAGTTGGTCACGCGAGCTCGCCGGCATGTTGTTAAGATCGCTTAATGACCGTCCGAGAAGATCTTCGTGCTACGTGACACAGTTTGCCGGCAACTATTCGCCGACTCGATGACAATCCGCGAAGATTTCTGCTTGGCAACTGTGCGCGTACGCATTCCAATTTCCCTCGACCTACAAGATCCGTGGCATCGAATCGTTCGCGATCCTCGTCTTCGTCTACCGTTTCCACTCGTCACAGCCGACGCGATACCAGGCTTCCACGAATTTCGCCTGTTCCGCCTTGGCGCGCGCGAAACGACGCAAACGCGTTTAATCCGGCCTCGCGATGGCGTTGTATCGAGGTATAATCGAATTAACGGGGAAAGCTGTAATAACGCGGTTCGACGAGGCAGGTAGAAAAAGATCGTCTAGCCTGTAAAACGGGCAAAGTTCGCTGGAACCGACGAGAAAACTTGTCCATCGATTACGACATAGATCGTCTACAATGGTGTACGGACCTGCTTTCAGGGAGTGGCCAGCATTCCGGACTGTAAAGATCAGCGGGCTTGCGATGAATGGAACGCTTTAAGAACGATCCGGAAAATGGATGTCGCCAAGAGTGCAACGGAGGATTTCGTGACGGTGGTGAGCGTGGAGAGCCAGCCACCGCCGGAGAATTTCGTCACGGTGCTGTCAATCGGCAGCGGGAAGAAAGAGGATGAACCGGCTCCCCCCTTGGTCACCTTGCTCAAGAGCAATGGCATCGACGGGCCACTGGAGGAGGAGGTGGAGGTCTACCGGCTGCCCGGGGAGCGACTGGGGTTCGGGTTGAAGTTCGAGGGTGGAAACAAGACGTCCGAGAGGGTGAGGAGGCTGTTCGTTCAGAGCTGCGCGGAGCAGAGCCCCGCGAGCCGGGCCAAGTGCTCGTGGGGCACGCTGGGCGAGGGCGACGAGGTAAGGAAACGATCGGTTCGCGATCGGGACGAATCGATCGGTTTTCCGTGTCACGGGAGACGCGCGTAATTTTCCAGACCCACTTTGTCGCGTAACGATTCCCAGGAGAAGCGGCGCGCGGTTTGTTTATAGCGTGGCGAGTCCGGGCAAGAAACGAGCTTGTCGCATCTCGCGTGCACACACACCGGTCATGTTACCGCGTCTCTTTTCCAGGTACTCTCGATAGACGGTGTACCAGTGACACACATGACTCGACTGGATTGCGTGAGGCGGCTGAAGGAGTCGCAGCTGGTTATCAAGCTAATGGTTAGGTGCAGAGGAGCGCTGAGGCCCGAAGTCGTGAGCGCAGAGAAAAAGAGTTCGCCGGAGAAAAACAAAGTGCCGCCCGAATTGCCTTCGGCGCCACCGCCCGTGCCGCCGCGGAAGCTCAGGCAAGCCCGAGGTCTGGCCGACGGCGAGGCGAATCCGAGTCCTGTGAAGAAGTCCTGGAACGGATCCAGGTCGCAGAGTAGCTCGCAGACCAGCTCGCAGACCAGCACGCAGAACAATTCTCAAAATGCCTCCCCGAGCTCGCAGCCCGCCAGTCAGATCGACAACAGCAAGTCGACCTCCTTCGAGAGCTGCGAGTCCTCGCCGAAGAGTGCCAACGGATCCGTTCAAGACAGTCCCAAGGGATCGCCGAAGGAACGATCGCCGGAGCTCGCGAAATCCAAGCAGGTGAACAGAGTAACGCAGTACGCTTTTCTTAAAACCGATCGCGCGTAAATTCTCGGATTCGAGTCGCTAATGTTCGTACGTTCGCAGGAACCTCCGGAAGCGATGGTGTACGTGGACGCAAGATCGCAGTGCGGATCGACGCACGGAAGCACGTCCGACGACACTGGAAGCTCCATGTCCACGGTGATCGACCGATTCTCCACCTCCGACCGAGTATCCACCATTTCGACCGCCTCCACCGCGTCCACCACGTCCGAGCAACCCAACGAATTTTCGCGAATCGACCAAGATTTCGACCGATCGTCCGACCGCGACTCGCAACTCTCCAAAGCCATCTGTTCCTTCGACAACTTGGACGATTATCCGTCGAACCCGCCCGATTACCTGCTTCGTCGCCTAGCCAGCTCGGAGGCGGTAACCCACGTGGAATCCCGAGGCGAAGTGGAGAAGATCACCGCGGTGGTGGCACCGAACACGGTGCTGATCGAGGAAACGATCACCTTTCAGCCGCCGTTGAGCTTCCAGGACGCGCCGCTGAGCTACGGCCACGAAGCCAGGCCTGACCTTTTTTACACGGCCGATCTGGCCGCCGACTCGACCACGCATTTCAGGCCAATTAAGGACGACGTCGAGCTCGTCGAGCGCGTGAACAGCATCCACGAGGAATTCCACGCGGCGAGCTCCTTGCCGGAGCCTGAGAAGCACAAGGAAACGTCCGGTGGACGAGCCTCGGACAGGACGCCTCCGCCTCTGCCGGCGAGGAATCACGTAAACAGGATCAGCGTCAATCAACCGGGCAACGATCGCGCCGCAGACTCCCGTTCCCAGAAACTGTCCGAGCAATCTAGCATCGAGGCTTCCGACAGCCAAGATGCACCTGTTCTACCGCCCAAGCCGCTGCCAAGGAGAGACGTGAAGATCAGACGGAAGAGACCACCGCCGCCACCACCGCCACCCACGATCGTGCCCCGGACCGAGGTCAAGCCCTCCGCGTTGCCCGAGTCCGGACAAACGAGTTTCGAGCACGAGTCCGTGGAACCCCAACGCCTGAGCGTCGACGTCGCCACCGGCAAGCTCGAGGACGCTGTCGCCAGCATCCCCGTTCGCTCCAAGCTCGAGGACAGGTCAAAGACTCTGGACAGACGCGATTCCGACGCGTGTTCGACGTCGTTCAAGAACGTCGGCGTCGATGCGTGCGACTCGGAGAAGAAGAGGACCGAGGAAACCGACGACACCGAGTCTATGGACAACTACGACTTCTTGGAGGACGACGGACACAGGACGAACAAGGTCTTGGAGATCATCGAGATAAGGAAAGCGAAAGCGTTGCCCCCTCGCAGGACCAATTCCATCTTGCGCAGAGATGTCGACGAGGATACCGGGAAAGCCAAATGCTCCACCGAGAGCGAACGGAGGATTGACAGCGAGAGGATCAAGGTTGTCAATTCGGCCTGTGGGACCTATCAACAGGAGAGACCCAAGCCTGAAATGAGAAACGCGTTGACCAGTTCGACCGAGACGAGCATCTCGGACGAAGATGGCGAACAGGTGACAAAGTTCAACGAACCTATAGACGAGTCGGACGAGAAAGGTTCCTCTGGAAGTGACAGTCTGGAAAGGTCCAGGGGATGCGACTCGGTGTCCAAGAAGGACGAATTCGGACGACGGGAGAGCGACGAGAGCGAGGAATCCTATCGGTCGTGCAACGACGTTAGCGTGCACAATTTGACAGCTAGTCGCACTCGGAGCAGCAAGGAGATGATCGAGGATGACGACACGAGCGAAGAGAGCGACGATGGGGATTATTATTGGCAGAGCAACTTGGCCACCATAGGCGAGGAAGAGGAAACGAACTCTCTCGAATACACGAACCCGTGAGTCCCATTTTGACAGCTTCTAGGAAAGAACCGAGCGATTGCACGTTAAGCCTTGCTTCATCCGACGAACGAGCTGTCGCGTCAGGTACTCGTAGTTCGACGCGTCGGTTGAGACCCTAGAAACTCGTCTCTCTGTCAAATTTCTCGATCAAACTGTCAGTCGTTTACGCTCGTTTCCGACCTGGTTGCGGAGAAAACTCGACTGTCGCTGGGGGTACGAATGACGGTGACTGTCGTCGTGCGAATGGTCGACGATGTACCATCTCTGGAATCCGACGAGGCGATACTTTTTAGGATGGAACAATATGCCGGACGACGAACGTGTCGTTCAACTTTGCGAAACCTGTTCCTGACAGAGGGAACACGAGCTACCTGCAGATCTGCTAGCCGATTTTGCCGCGGAACTGGTCCCGGTAGCTCGCAGCGGACTATCAAAGTGTTCCATCTAGCAGATTTTGCCGGAATAACGCGTTCCTCGCCGATCGGCTATCTTATCTGTCGCGGTGTTTACGTAGGAAGCCTAAGTAGGTAGCAGTTCGCAGTACATTAATTCTCGACCATGTAGCACGCCGTGAAACCTCGCGCGCGGTGTGTTCTTTAATTGTAAGCAAATTCCGTTTTCGTACCTCCGGTTTGCCTCGATTAAGATGCCCGCAACGATTTGCGCTTGCAAAACGCTACTCGTATTTATTTATAGCACGCTCCAACCGCACCTAGCTCGATGCACACACGAGCGTCGATTCGGTGCCGCGTTTTTCGGCACGCCTTTTCCTACCATTTCGCGCGGTTCTTCGGGACGGGTCGATCACGCGCGTGGCAATCGGCGAACGATCGGTCGGGATCCAAGCGGATCCACGTTCCAGGGACGACCCCGAGGAATTCGCGAGGGCTGCGCGCTCGAGGCACGCGGCGAAATCCCAGGGGGCGCAGTTATGGCGTCTAATGATACACTCGGAGGAATCGTTCGGCACATTTTCTCGCGATAATTTTCTCTCGGCGCCCGATTTTTTGGAAAATGAGGATCCGATTACGCGTTTATTCGGAGAACCACCCTCGTGCAAGAGTATCGTTCTCCCGATCGATATTCCATTCGTAATAACGGAATGGCGTTTGCTCCGCAGGAACAAAGAGACGATGGAAGCGGAGGTGAGCGCGGCGGGAAAAGCGGAACGACAGGAATCGCCGGGCAAGAAGGACACGTGCAATGCAAATGGTAAGTCGAAATGAAGCGACGCGTTAGTTATTCCACGGTCGTCTATGCAGACGTCGGGAGGAATGGCGCTTGGCAAATTAAAAGCCGCGTTCGAGGTCAATGCGAAACAATCAAGCGGGCAGCTCGCGGAGGGGGTCCATTAAACCCGGTGGAATCGGCCGATTACGTCCATTAACCGAGGCAACTGCGCAAAAATGTTAGCGCCTTTAGCGCCTTTCGCGTCGATCCGCGTTCTCCGCCATTGCCACGTATCTCCCGCGGCGCGCGCGCGCGCGCGAGCGGAGAGATTACGCTCGCGGAATCTCGAACGACTCGCGACGCGTGGGGCTGGCCGATTCCGTTCGCGAGCCCGACGCGGTCGGCGCAGGAATTCGTCGAAGCGTAAAGCACGAGCGGAGAGAACACGCGGCACGCACGCCCACGCGCGCGGCCGTCTCGCGCAGCGTGCCGCGTCGCGACGCGGACACCGATCCACTCGAGCCGCTTCATAAAGGTTACGCATTAATCTCGCGGTGCGTTACGCGCCGCTAAGGTTCTCCGGTTTCGCGCGCGTGCACGCGAGCGAGCATTGGAAACGGAGGCAGCTCTCTCGAGCGAGAGACAAAGGCGTGTTTGCCTGGGCGCACCTTCGACACGAGGAATTCCTGCTCGGCCCGCTGCTGCTGCTCATTGTCCGCCAAAGATGGATCGCGACTCACGTGGGAAATCGAAGGCAGCGACGCTCGCGACCTCTTCCGACAGCCGCTAAAAATACGCCGTAAAATACGGTCGCGCGAGCGAGCCGGCCGGATGAACGCGTTTCGCGCGAGCAGGGGTTACGACACGCGCTGCTGCGAAACGGGCTATTAGCGGGTCTCGTTCGCAGCGCGTGCTCCCTGGTCCCTGATCGCGGCAGCGGCTTTTAATCCGGCGTCGCTATTGTGGAAAAGGCGCGCGCGGTAATTGCTAGGCTGGATGTACCGGATGTCGATTACCGTGGGCGTACGCGCGCGATCATTTACACTCGGTGCATTATTACGGGCAGCAGCGCGCCTCGTGATCCAGTAAATGTACAGCCGAGAGTTTTCGCACCTTGGCTCGCGAACCGCGAGCAACCGGCACGCGGGGCGTCTCGTATTTTAGCCGCGCGTTAACGCGCGCGCAGGGACGTTAAGAGGAAAGCTAAAGGCTAGCCTGCAGCTTCTAAATATGGATTCCGACGGATCGTTTGTAATTGAAGCTCCGCCGGGGAAAAGCGCGCCGAGCGGCCATTTTTCCCTGGACGACTAAGCGACTGGGCCCGTGGTGGCTCGTTAAATTTCTCGGGAAAGTGGTATCCTGAGGCCTCCGGGCGGTTTCGTCTTTATCCTCGAGACCGGGCCGAGCAGCCAACGACCACGACACGACCGCGAGTACCCGAGGTATATAGGAAAGAAACGAGGAAACTCCGTTCGATCGGTAATCAGCGTGCACCACTCCTCGAAAGTGGATGCTCGATCGCGGCCGGTGGGTGTGAGAACGAAACCGTTAAGAATAATTCGAGAAGTGGAAGGCACGGCATGGCATAGCACGGCGTGGCACGCCGCTGTTTGCCAGGTAGCTAGTTTGCACAGCTAACGAAGAACCAGGCTTTTAGGATCCTATTAAACGTCGGATTTTACGACGCACCGGGCATACGCGCGTATTACCTACCGTACGTTACTTTCAACCGGATCGCCGCGCTTAACTTTTCGATATTTGCACAACGAAACGCGAAATCGTTGACATTCCTCCCTTCACCGTTCGAATTCGTTCGCCTGGCCGACCTTGCCGCTCCTTAAACAGAACCACCCGTAACCGCGCCGCGGGATAAGCCTCGATCCTCGGTCCTCGAAATCCACCGAGTGGCAAAGGTGAAAGAGCCGGAGCGAGGGATCGGTTCCGCGTGGCGCGGATTCGGGGTCGAACGGTGCGCGTTTCTACGGGCGAGTGAACGTGAGTGACGCGGTTACGTAAAGCGTAGGATAATCGCGAGAGATGATAAATGGTTGGCGGGAAAGGAACAAGAGATACGCGCAGGCGGTCGTGTCACCGCGTTCCATCAGGTGAGCCTTCTAGCCTCTCGGCCAGCGGATCGTTGGCAGCCAGCGAGCACGGTTGCGAGTGTGGGTGGCTAGCCGGGGTCTGTCAGGGCATAGCAGTCGCAACGATATGGCGGTCGCGCATACCCGGCTCCGCTGTTCGCCGTCTGGTTTCTCGGGCCTCGCAGTGGCTGACCGCTCTCAAGGTCCCCATTCCCCCTTAATCGCCTTCCTTTTCGAGATCTTTCACTTTGGTTCGCTCCCAATCGAACAGACTCTGGCCAACGAGCCCGGTGTACCCGGTGCATCGCCTATGAATCCTCGATCGCTCGGGTCCGGCATTCCGCGCAGCCCGGTCGCCGCTCGCGCATCGGTACCTCCGGTGCAGTATACTGACCCAATGATAACTAACCCGGGGGTTTGGGACCGCGCTCCGCGAATAATCGATGGCTTATCGACTGTGGTTCGTCGCGCCCTCCCGATACTCGCGGAAGAGGAAAAAGATGGCGGACGTTACGCGTTCCTATCGGTGATATTCTAAACGCGCGACACGTTATGCTACCGATACTCGATTGGATCGTCAGCGACCGGTTCGATGGCGTTTAATAACGATTCCCCGGACTTTCTCCACGCTGCGTTTAATATTCGCGCGGTCGTAATGGCGGCGCGCGAACTCGGTCGCGTTGATGGAAAACGTCATCGGAGATCGCAGTTAAAAAGGTTATAACGTATCGACTGGCAGGGTGTGCTCGAGTTGGCGATGCATTAACCCAAGGCCCAAACATAACTCGTCGGGAATTGCTCGTTCCCTATTCGGTTCCAGGGAACCGGTCACGAAGGATGATTAGTCGAATCGATCATTCGGAGAAACTATCGGCGATAAATCGGCGAGGTGGAAGGCTCGGAGCGGCATGGCGGCGGACGCTCGCGGAACGATTCGTCTCGAAGCATCCAGGCCTCCGCGGCATCACGGAAGATCGTTCGCCGCGCGGGCAATTATTAAAGTCACGGTCAAATAGCGAGGGTGATCGATGCGCGCGTGCAACCGAGCCGCCACTCGCGGATTCCTCGTCCACTCTTTCCACGGAACTGAAATTAGATCGTCCGGTTTTATTTATCGCTTCGGCTCGCCGAGTAACTCAGTCGCGACGATAGGCGAGCCGCGGCATCTCCGCGGGAACCGGTTGGACGTCGCTTCAAAAACCGTTTAGTCGAAAGGATCCTTGTTTAACCGCGGCGCGCATAATCGCGAGATGAATTGCGCGGCAAACCCGACGCGGTACGCTCGGGCGTCTAAACTCGCGGAAACGTTGCTTTCCGTGCCGATTTACGCGGTATTAATCGATCCCCTCGGTCGTTACGATCCCACCGTTTAGCCAGCGTTGCTTCGCTGAGCGCGTAAAACCGTCGTCGACCGTGTCCCTTCGTTTTTCCATCGAGCGGAATTTTACGACGGTTCGATCCGCCTGGAAGAATCCTCCGGGCGGAGTTATCGGTCGCGACCGACGTAAATTCCTGACAGCGATGGACGATTCGTGCGTGCCGCAAATGCGAAGCGAAGGAAACGCGTTTCGAGTGACGAACGATCGAAAAGGCGCGCGCATCGTCCCGGAAATGCGACCTTTTCGATCGTGATCCGTTCGAACGACTCGCGGACAGATAAGCAACGCTGGTCGTCGTTGCGAAAGTTGACAAGTTGACCGAGGAAAGTCAGCGGTGAAGAGATGAAATAAAAAATGGCGGCACTCGTCGTTATACCCGATAGAGAATGGAGGCAATCGCGTCTGAAAGGATCTACTCCGCGCCTACGTGCGGCCAATATGTCCGATTGAAGCGACAACATTCCAATGCGGCAACCCGGAAGGTGCTCGAGCACCGACATCGATTCGATTACCTTCGATAAGTCATACTTGAACTCATGCAAACACGCGGCTGCCCCGCGTGCCCCGAGGAATTCGAAGAGTCGTAACGAGGGGAGCAGCGATTTCACCGGGCAAATCCGTCGTCGACGCTTCGACGCCGGAGTAATCCGATTGAATCGGATGGAATAGAAGCGAGGTCGGTATCGCGATGCGTTACGGTGGATCGATGCTGGCGCGACGAAAGCTCTCGCGTGCTTGGTCGTCGGGTATTATCTGCAACGAGGTTTGCAAACACGCGGTGCGAGAGCAATTAGTATGGACGGGCGTGGAAAACGCTCGTCGCCAAACGAATGCATAATCGACGCGAGCGCCCCACGACGGTCACCGATAAGTCGGCAGCGACACCTTGTGCCACAGGTGTCCGGCGCAACTTCCTGCGTGCATACTGATCCCGTGCCACGCGCTCCTCGCTATCTCGAAATATCGCGCCGCGATCCACGTGTCCGAATCGCCGCGAGAATGCACGCGTGGATCATCGAGTATGTACATAGTTATGCATACGTATGCGTGTAGGTTGGCGGAGGTATAGCGTTCTCGGGTGCACTCGGGTCGCCTGTTACGCGAGGCGACTCGTGTAAATTTTCGGCCGAAGAAACGAGCGTTTGCCGACGAGGCAATTCCGTGGAATGGAAACGAGGCAGGAAACGTCCCTTTACAGTTATACTCTTTCAACCGGAGAACTCGGCTCGACTGACTTATCGCCGACGTGGCAGTAACTCGGCCCCCGGACTCGAGGCGTTAAAACGTAGTCGTGAAAACGAGCCCATCTCCGCCGAGGACGTTCGCGATCCAGAATGTTTTCGCCGCGAGTTTGTCGGGGCAATCCGGAATTTTTCTCGGGCCCGGAATGTGCTGCGCCGCTTATGGCCGCGACATTGCTCGAATGCCAGTTAGACACCGGGAAAAGATCGGTTTCTTTCGATCCCTCGTCCGCGAGGACGACGAGTTATCGTCGCATAACCTTCGACTCGGAACGCTTTATCGGTGAAAAAGTTGCCCGATGCTACGCCGCTCGAAGGCGACTCGCGGGGCCTTAGAC